GATTGAGTTAAACCATTAGCTATATCTGCAGATCTAAGAACAGGTGTCCATGTAATAGCACAATCTACTGAATTTAATTGAGCATTTGGTAGATCAAAACATGTACTTCCACATTCATCTAATGAATATTGATATGACCAACGACATCGAACAACTTGATCATAATCCCAATCAGCTGCAAGTATTTGTATAACAGATAATTCATTAACGTAAAATTGAAAAATTGGTAATGATGCTGTTACTAAAATCAAATTCATATATATATATATATAAATTCGAACACTCACAAGAGATAACATACCAGGTGAAGTATTAATTTTACCCGAAATAGGTGTTAAATCAATATGAGTAACAAGTGACCATTCATTAGTTAAAGTTTCACTTGCCCAAGCTGCACCTCTTGAAGCAACATCAATTATAGAATTTATTGCTAAATATTGTTTTGTATAATAAGTTCCTGTAGATATTTGAAATTCAGTTGAAAAATCAGTACAATATAAAGATGAACTAATATTTTGAAAAAGTGATGATGTACATGTAGCTGTTGAACTTATACAAATAATTGTAGCTGTTATTTCATTTTGTGTATCATTGTAAACACCTAATGAATTAATAGTGCTTTCATTACATTGATATCTAGCAAGTGTCCATGAATGTCGTTCTGTTATTGTAATTTCAATAGAACTTGTTAAAGAATATGGATTTGTTGGTTTCCATGATAGAGTACCACCTTTATAATGATCTGCTAATGATGTGTTAACTAATAGCAATAAGAATAGAATCCATACATGAAAGAACATTTGAATAAGTCAATGAAATAAACTTTCAAAAAAGTGAAAGATAGATTTTGTTATTATTTTATTTTAAAAAAAAATATTGAATAAAATAAACATTTGAATTTTTTTCTTCATCAAACTTTTATTTCTTGACAGAACGTTATCAATAAGAAAAAAAAAAGAAACATTCGTTGATTGATTATTTCATCATGTCAAAGTTTATATTTGAAAGATGAAAGTATTTCTAAAAATAAACATTTCAGCATATGCATTATGATTATTTTGTCTCATAAAATTCATACAGTTTTTGAATAACATGTCAATAAATCAACATAAAATAAAAAAAAAAAGAAAATGATATTTTAAATGAAGCGCTAGAAGGTAAAAGTCGAACTTTCAATCATCACATTTCATGGCTAAGTTATTGGTGATAGACGACAATAAAATATACTATAATTTGCACAATGAGAAATGTAATTATTACATTTTTGGTTAGCATGGAAACATCTTTTATATTGAATTTATTGATCAATGAGTTGTGATTAAATACTACTCTAATAAATATGATTAAATCAATCAAATGAACAGACAACAGATATTTTTTTAAAATGTATGCTAATTTCTGCATACATAGCATTAGGCCTTTGAACTAATATCTTTTCTTGTGATATATAAAGCTGGAAAAAGAAAATATTCACTGTTTGACAACTACATTTGTTTCTATTTTTCAAGTATTATTACGTACCCGTAAAAAATCGATCTTGGACTAAGTACATTCAAATTCTATAGAATTTTCCACAAACAAGAGTAAAAAAATGGCTCATTTGGCAATTCGAAATTCTCTTTGGACCCTTATTCTATATATTTTAATTTCTTTTTGTTTGAAAGTACATATCAGACTGCAGTGACGAACGCATTCTTTGTTTTTATATTCGTGCTCTTTATTCAGAGAAAACGAATGACAAGTACAATACATCGAAAAACTCTTGAAACACTGCAGTAAGAAAAACATAAATAGAGAAAAATATTTTTCAAGCAGAGTAAAAATTCATATGGTTTGCAAAAGATTCGACTTCTACTTGTCCTACCATAAATTTATCTTACTTATGATAAACAACCAAATGAAGCATTTCACTGATCTAACTATTTCATCATTTACATTACCATCAACTATAACCTATAGATACAGTATTTTCTAGTGTGTAAATATTGGTGAAGAGAAAAATTTCATCCACATCTACAATACACTCCAAGTCTTACAAAAACAATTCTTTCTTTTCCTCCAGTAATGAATATATTGATAGTTCTATATTCTTTACCTTGAAGTGCTTTTCACTTATTCTTTTCAATTTCACAAGAATTCAACCAAAACCTAAAATGTTAATATCCAAGAAAGTCTGAATTATTATATCGTATAGTTTCATAAATAATCTAGACTTTTTGAAGTTAGTCGGCCATCTCCTCCCAAAAAAAGGTTGTTTTTCGAGCATTTGGTCGTTATGAAATTATTAGTGGACATATAACTCAAGCTAGGCAACTCACAGTTACAATTGTAGATCGATATATTGATTGTTAGAAGAGTTAGCTTAAGATGATAGGTCAGAATATGGATGTCCATGTGTTTCGAATTTTTTCGTCATTTGTATTACTTGAAAGCTCTTCTGATAAAGTACGAAAAAGACAGAGAGTGTAGGTCCACAACGGTTAGTTTTTAGTAAACGTGAAAGGAAAAATTGAAAAATTTGATTTTATTAAGTTATAGAACTAATTTCTGTCTTCATTTTGACACTGAATCAAGCTTTCTAGTATTTAAAATGCCAGAGAAATCTTAGAAAACCCAAAACCAATTGCAGTACTATTATTCAGGACTTTCTTCTCCATAAAATGATATAAAAAGAATCTTCCTGTAATTTGTTATAGATCACCGATTAGAAAGAATCAACTGAACGCATATAAAGATATACAAGAGAATTTTTTTCTATTCATATAGACATTTTAGAGTGTAACAAAATATCAACAAAAATTATCTATTTAAAAAATAACTATAAATTCATCTAAATCGATATAAACTATGTAGAAATAGTATTTTCAAATTATCTAAAACACTTCAAAACACACTGTATTCATCATGATTGATAATATGATCAAGAAAAGTTTATTTAAAATAAACAATGTAGATGTTTCGTAATACTTAGCGGTGCATGATAACCATGTCTATCAGTACCAAAAATTAACAGAGAAGCTTAAGAAATTTTAAAAATCACAGTTTTTAAGAAGAAAAACATTATTTTCTTCTGTGCCAGGTTCAGAAAAACCTATGTAGTATCCTCAAATTTTATGAAACATGATCTAAAAGAAATTTTGAAGTATATAAGGATTGAAATTTGGATCCACTCTCTCCCTCACAAACCGTAACAGATGCTTTATTTAATTAACTAATTAATAAAGTGATTAACAGCTAAACAATAACTAATTAATAATATAATAATGATCCGCTGATGCATAATTAATGACAGAACTGTGAAAGAATATATCATGATAAAAGAACCAAATCCTTCTGCCCACAGACTGTGGCAGACGGTGTTGAAAAATCATATATCACCAACATCTCATTACAATATATAAACTGCTTCCTTATTGGATTGCTCGAGGTTTAAGTAACTGATGATAAAGAAATGTATCCCAAAATAGATGAAATAAAACAATTTTCATGTGATTAGCAAAAATAGCCACATCGTATTTCACATTGTAATACAACACAGATTGGATTAACATATCTTTCATCAAGTTTTAATCGATGATAATCTGATTTTTACACTAACTTGTTTTTTTTTACATGAGTAAGCGTCTTACGATTTTTCTTTGTCTATTGCATACAGAACTCGAAAAAAAAAACTTGATCTTTCTCAATGCAAATTTTATGATCAGGTAAGAATGAGCAGCAATTTCAACTTGCTCTAGTTGACGTAGGAAATTTATTTATAAAAAGTTCATTACTTCACAATAAATATAAACAAAAGCACGCATACTTTGTATTCAATTTTTTTGCTAGAAAATTAGGTGGATGAAACCAAACCAACTTACATCTACAAGCAAGAAGCCTTTATATAGCTTGCATCTTCTCACACTCAAGATGCCTGCAAGGTTTTTAATTATTGAATAATTTCGTTTCTCTTGTGTGCAATATATAATACTATGCAGCAGTGAATTGAGATGTAAACTTTTATTTTTGTATTGATCACAACAGCATACATTTAAGTTATAGTGTATTATAATGAAAACTAATCCAATAGACACCGAGAAGATACCAGATGATTATCATCAAGTGTCATTAACTTCACATGTAGACATGAGCAATATTCCATACCGTCATTCAACAGCAATACACGGTGTTGACAAAGTTCATTCTCAAGGTTATCATTCATCATTTCAAGTGAGTTTATTTTTTTGTTTTCTATGTTTTTTTTATATTAAAGCTATTTCAAGTTTATATAAAAATTTTGAAGTAGTAAATCTCGAATAGTTTATAGCAAATGATATCAATATAATGATCAGATCGCATGTATTTGCACTTGATGATTTATTAGAGAAATCATACAAATCAAGCAACGAACTAATTCATTTTATTTTGATCAAATAGCAACAGGAGTGAGCGAATTCGTTGTTGTTTTTAATCAAATTTTTCTCTTTTTGTTCTTTTCTCCATTCTTCATCATCATCAGCATTGTAAATTTGACCGATACCAATTGTCTCTTTGTTGACTCGATTTTTAATGTTTGCCATCATCTTACGGACATCTATTTGTTGAAGCATGTACATATGAATATGAACAGTTTTGATGTATTTGAGAAATTCATCATTAAAATCAAGATTTTCACGTTGAATTTGTTTTGTTGATAACTATTAATGGAAAGAAGGCATTTGTTCTTATTACTAATATGAAATGAAATTGACGATGTTTCATCTAAATTAGGTGACAACATGTTTGTAATATATAAAATGGAAAGTGTATATAATAGAGGCAAATGAAGATTGTGCTTATAAAAAAGGACGACGAGGGACGAATAAATGAAGATAGGTTGGGTGATATGGATGTTGCAAACAAAAGAAAAGAGAAAACTGAAGAAGCATCATTTTGTGAACATAGAGTGCAAAAGCGGATGAGAGGAAAGCAAAAGAAAAGACATACCAATCATAAGAATATCAATATGAAACTGACCATGATTGTAGAATGAAAGAATATCTATCGAGATTTATTTGAGCTGTTTTTAAAATTTTCTTCTCAAGATTTTTACAATTATTTGTCATTTTGGTCTAGTATCAGCATTCTTTAACAAAAAGCCGGCAATCTCCTGATTTTATCCATGTAAACATCCGACCACCAAAAAGCAGGACTCATTCTATAAACAAGAACTCTATCCATCCTGACGAGACATTATTATCGGTACAGATTATTGAAATTTTGGATTTCTCATATTTTCTTTTTGTTTCCATAGATGCCAACGGTTTTGAGTGCTCGTTATCATCGAGATAAATCCAGGTCTACTATGTCCAAGCAGAAGAAGAAAAAGGTAAAAAGAATGATTTCTACCTCTCCGATCTCCAGTTTCTCTACGACAACGATGGATAATCCTGCAAAACATATTGTTAATCAAAGTTTTGTCGAATCATCATATAGTAGAACAGGTACTGCTAGTACCACAACAATTAATCAGCACCATCAGTCATCAGTGCAGGTAAGATAATCAAATGAAGAAGATATTGGCTAGTGAATTCTATGCAGAATTTCAATGAGTTTCTCAAAGGGAAAAAAGCGTACTTCTTTCGTACTTAGGTGTATAACAGCTCCAGTTCAGCGAACTGAACTGGAGTCAGTCAGCCAGGTCTCGTTCACATGAGCTAGAGCTATCTACTAGCTATTCAACTTAGCTCTCGTCAGTAATGGAGTTGGAGCTGTCATATACCTCATGTCGGATCGATCTTTGAGTAAAGAGAAGCTCAAAGTTGATGAAAATTTGTCAAACACAATCTCCTTGACATAATACTAATTAAAAAATAAAACCACTCCATTACATGACTTAAGTACGTCGAGTCAGGAAAAACACTCCACTGTTACTTCTTAAAGAAAAGCTCAAGTGCATAACTCTTAGGTTATTCTAACTCAGTGTTTCGTACCGCATTCGACACCAGTTAGTAGATGACATATGAGTGACGTCCTTATCACAAGTTTGCGACCTACGCCCAAAAGCCCTTGAAAATCTATGACGACTAACGCTAGATATCTCTTGAGCAGTTAGCTACACCCAACACCTCTCACCCAGATAGACCTTGAAGAGTGGTCAGAATTGCCCCAAGATAGTCCTTGAAATTTAACGATGCTAAACCTCGATAGCACTTGGCAATTTATGGATATCACTCACAGATAGTGCTTGAAGATTTATGGGTGGGTCGACAGAAAAGCCCTCGAGGACTTATAGGTACCTTCTTAGGAAAGCCCCTGAGAACCTATGGGTTCTCTTCAGGTAGCCCTAGGAAAGCTATGAGATAACTCATATAAACGAACTAGTGATCCAGTCTAGCTCATGGAAGCTGAGATGGTGAACAGTTCCAGCTTCAGCTCACGTGAGTTGAAGCTACTTATCAGTTTTTCGACTCAGCTCTTACGAGCTGTAGAGCTGGAATTATCACATACCTATTCGTACTTCACAACTACAGAAGTATGCTTTTTCACCCTTGGAGTTTCTTCAGAAATGATCAAAGTCGCGAGTTTCAATAAAGTTTGATAGAAAGAATATGAAAAGCATTCTTACTCTAATAAATAGTATATTTGCGTGCAATATGTATGCATGTTCAGATATTGTGTTAGGTAAACTCTGAATGAAGTTGCTCTTCTGATTGAGAGAATTACGTAGAATTGAAATACATAAGTATTGCTTTCTGCACTGTATTCCTTTCAATTAATGAACCGAGTAATCTTGACCCATATGACAGGTCATTTTTCAAAACAGAATTTATATGAAAATAATTCAAGTGATAGCTAAACTATGGCACTTTATCGTTCCATGGTAGGAATGCATCAAGAAAACTACATTTTAATGTATTATCAAGGAAAAAGTTGGTATTTAAAGTAGCTGTTTCGAAAACAAATTGAGAACATATTGTATCTTCACAACGTGCATGCTAAAGAAAACGCAGTTTCCTAGAAAAGTATACATTAGAGCTTGAAAATTCAAAAAATTTCAGTGTTATATGCATTTCGTCAGCCTAATTTCTCATGTAATTCTCAAGCACTTATACAGAATATGGGATTAGAGCCTGTTATAGATGACTGGTCAGTAGAGACCTGCATTGGACTCCGAAACTCAATGTCGATTCCGTCAGAGTCGAACTTGTAACCGCTCTCGATACCTTTTTCTTTTGATTTACTAAACCTTCATTCTTGATATTAATAAATAAAAGATAATACCTGTCATATAGAATAATAATGAACTTTTAGACAGAACAATGAGTGAATCACTTTCCAGTTATAACATTCGAATGATCAAGTGACATGAAGACGTAACAACATTAATAAAAGAACATATATTAACGTCATTCAAAGTACTACAGTTGTCTTCATGATGAGTTCTTAGTTTTTTAGACAAAGAACATCCCTGGCAAACATTATCCGTAACAAAAACGAGTTTTTATTAGTAAAAATGTGGATTTTTTTTCAAATTCAAAAGGTATTCTCTTTGGGAAAAGAGGGAGTTCGAAGATGATAACATCCATTAACTCGTTTCTGTAAAGAAAAAAGGGTGTGGGTGTGAATTTTCCTTTCACACTAACGTCTACACCTTGCATGTCTAGGGAGCAACAGTCAAACCTTTCTTAAACGTCTAAATACTATGAACCTATATCGATGCAGAAAAAAGAAATATTTCTATCTAAAACTACATGGATTTGGTACTTCTGTACGTTCAATATTGTGTAAATTAAAACATTATCAAACCGATGTCATTCAAATTAGAAAATATGCGCAGAATATCACTTCTCAAACGATTTTACGCCTCTAAGAAATGTTTTGCTGTTCAAACATCATTTCTTTATTGTTGTGTTTTTAACTCATTGAACAATCGAATTAGATGCATTAAGATCTTATATGCAGATTTAATTAGTCTATACTTTGAAAAGTTCTTCAAATCTTTTCCTTTTTATTCGTATTCTTATAGTCGTATCTCAAACAAGGGACAAATGATAATCAAGAGAAAAGCTTACCACAACAGAATAGTTTATTAACAAGAACAAGTGATCAAGCTAAAGAACTACGAGGACATAATCAACAAAGACTAAAAGTACTTAATAAATATTCATCAAGAAAAACAAAAAAAACTAAACATCAGGTAATTTGAAATTCTATTATTCATTTATAAACATTATTTCTCTAAATTCATTTCTTCAATTAATATAGGAATTTGGTTCATGGTCAAATGTCACGGATTTTAAGGATTTTCAAGATCGAAAGTCGAATAGAAACAAAAAGAAACTGTAAGTAGTTATTTTCCATTCTTTTCCAATAATAACTATGAAAAAATTTGTCCACTTAGATATTTTAATGAAATTTGTTGTCGATGTTCACTCATGTCTTTATTACTGTTGCTAACTGCTCTTGTTGGTATTATTGGCATAATTGTTGCTGCAATAGTTATTCCCTTGGTCATAAAACCACAAGCGGCAACAGCAACAACAACAATCATATCAACAGTAACAACAACAACAATAACGACAGCAACAACAACAACAGCATCTACAACAACAACATCTACATCAACAGCAACAACAACAACAACAATAACGACAGACACTACAACAACAACATCCACAACAACAACAAAAACAACGTCTACGTCAGCAACAACAACAACAAGTAAGACAACATTTGTGTTATTATTCGCTTAAACTTATGAATATCCCTTTACTCCTCCCCCATAGTAGTTCCAGACGAGTCACTATTGGAATAGAATATTGTTCCTTTCAGTAAATCAATAATATAAGCAGATCGACCAGGTGCACTTCTCTGTGACCATGCTAATTTGGTAACTCCAGTTGCCATTGAGGAAGGAATAGCGACATGCAAACTTTTTTTTATCTTTTGCGAGTAGCTTGTTGATTTTGTAAAAATACAATATATTTTTTTAATTCAACAATACGAATAAAGAAAGAAACGACACATAAAAAGAGGGTAGATGTGGTTTGGCTCTCTTCTTGTCCGAAACCGATGCCTACACCAAATACTTATATAACAACAAATGATGCTCGTATCGAATAAATAACAGCAATCTATTTACTTATCTATATGTAAATATTAACAAGTATTGCATTTAGACTGAAATTTCTAAATCTTTCTTTTTCATGTCATTACCCCACTCTCCCATGGCAACCTCAGTTATCATTTTATGTCATACAATCTCTTGTTCAGCTAATTTGTGTGAAAATTTGTAAACGCATTTTATTGAATAGCAGCAACTTTCGTTGATATTCATTGCACAACATATCACTAATATCAGTATTTCTCGTGGATAAAAAAAAACAATTAAAAAAGAAGAGATTCTTTTTTTTTAATAAGCTCATAATCAACTCTTTTTGTAAGTCGAAAATCTAAGAGACAGAATAAGAATACAAAATATTTTTTTAATATTCGATAGCTTAGGATATCTTTTTCACATAGTATGTAAAGAGTTTACTGATATCACGTATTCTGCATTTTCTGTACTATTTCTAAAAATGGCAATTCCAGTTGCCAATGGGGGTAAAGAGTTAATGAAAATCGTTTCATATTTGCTATCAATATAATTATAACAATTATTAGCTTACATTTATAAGAATATGAAGAAAGTAAATAAAAACAATAACACAAGTATCTTGAATAAAGAGTAATGAAAGAGTTAAGAAGAAAAAAAACGGACACATTACTCTTTGCTCGTTTTCTTTTCTCTCTATTTACTCATCTTAGAGAAAAGCAACCTCTTTAAGAGATATGATTGATATCGATCTATCAATTGAAGTACACAACACCAGTAAATAAAATTTAGTTACATGGATGGTTCTTAATCTTCGTTGAATATATTGTTTCACACAGAATTCTAATGGATACTTAGAAGTGATAGTATCAAGACTGTGTGCAAAGACAGAAGAACAGCAATACACTACTTTCACAGTTTAGTTTGTAGATAGAAGATATCTAAAGTGGTTGTCACGTAGTTTTTAATACGAAGTTCATGGTTTCAATGCAGTATTGAGATGTCTTATTCTATTCGCCAGCAAGTCTTAAATTAGGTTTCTCAGCTATTATTCCATTTATATTTGTTCATAAAGCTCTGAAAAATTTGTAGAAGTTTGAGGCAAGTAAACATATCTGTATGAAATCCTTAATAACCATGAGATGAGATTATAGTATATCCTTAGTATTGAGTCAAAACAGTAATCAAATTGATAATTCGTAGTCGAAAAAAAATCTTCAAAGAGGCGACAAAATAGACAACAATGAAAAAAATAGCTGTTTCCAATCTTTTGAATAACAAATCAATTGTTACTTGTCATTCAGAGATCTTTTGGAGCCGTTGATAACGCTAATTATGATTGTATGAACATTCAAAAGTTGGTATGGGGTAAATTTTCGAAGCAACAGTATTAGAAAATAAGATTTTCAGATTAATAGTTTCATACATTGATGGTTCGAATACACAAGAAAAACATCAAAAATTTAATTTTTATCCAGTATCTTCATAAATTCTCTCTTAAGACTTTTGATTATTCAGTTATTATGAAAGTAGAGTATATACTAATTCGGATGCAAACATTTCAACTGTCATGAAGCTTTGTGTCAAAACATTAAAGCAATTATCTTGAACATTTTCTATAAATAGATAAAGCAAATGTCATTTCTGATTGATTTAAATCAACTGCTTTCAGTGTGAGATTGGTGAACAACTGATATGCAATCGATATGGATACTTAGCTAAGATGTGCTACAATTGAGCTATAGAAAGAATTGTGACTTTCTTCTTCTATTTTTATCTCTTCAATCATTGATTTTTTAATTTTTGCTCGTTTTTTTTTGGAGGCTGATTTGCCACTGTAGACAAAAAAAAGCAGAATGAAGAATATATCATTTTTGAATGCTGAAAACGATGAACATATGGTAAAATGTTCATTTGAATAGACAAGAGCTTCACAGATACACTCACGCCATGCAGATCTTACATGGTTTGTTAAGCTGATCGAAGCTAAGATGATATGCAGTTTAGTTCTAATGGAAAAACATTGAAGACAGCATCACGAAATAGGATAATGCTTAAACAATTATAATGATTTTTCAATCAAGGAAATAGTTATTTACAAAATAGTCAGAATTGCATCGTAGATTGTCATTTTCTGTAGGAATATACTCTAGCGGAAATTGTATAAGAGAAAGAAAAACTGTATATTTTCGTGTGGAAGAAAAAACATAAATTGTTGAAGATTGGAGACATCATCTACTCGCATATCAACGATAGTCGAAGTTACATTGTTTGGAAGTAAAGGACTCTGATCAGACAGGTTTTCTTCTCAATTATACAGGTGTTGATAACAATTCTTATTTCGTAATAGCTCCATGCAATAGATTCCTACCACAAACCACCTATCCAGTTAGCTCTGAGCCGTATTCTGTAGCAGCAGCCGATGTCAATGGAGACGGCTACAACGATATTATTGTTGCAAACAATAAGGCAAACAACACCGGCGTTCTTTTGAATAGAGGCAATGGCACGTTTGCTACTCAAGTGACCTATTCAACTGGCTATCAACCGACGCATGTGGCAGCAGCTGATGTCAACAAGGACGGCTACAAAGACATTATTGTTGCAAATCAAGGTGCAAATAACATCGGTGTTCTTCTGAATAGAGGCAACGGTACATTTGCTGCCCAAGTGACCTATTCAACTAGCTCTTATCCGTCTTGTGTAGCAGTAGCCGATGTCAATGGAGACGGCAACCTCGACATTACTGTCGTAAACCAAGGTGCAAATACCATCGGTGTTCTTCTGAACAGAGGCAATGGCACGTTTGCTGCTCAAGTAACCTATTCAACTAGCTCTTACCCGATTTCTGTAGCAGCAGCTGATGTCAATAGAGATGGTAGCGTCGATATTATTGTTGCAAACTTTGGTTCGAACAGTGTTGGTGTTTTTATCAACAGAGGCAATGGTTCATTTGCCGCTCAAGCGACATATACAACTGGCAGTTATCCGTATTCGGTGGCAGTTGCTGATTTCAATGGGGATGGCAACCTCGATATTACTGTTTCAAACCAAGGTGCAAATAACATTGGTGTTCTTCTGAACAGAGGCAATGGCACTTTTGCTGCTCAAGTAACCTATGCAACCGGCAGTACCTCTGCTCCATATTCTGTGGCAGCTGCCGATATCAATGGGGATAGTTATGTCGATGTTATTGTCGCGAACTCAGGCGCACCCAACGTCGGTGTTCTCCTCAACACTGGCAATGGTACGTTGGCTACTCAAATAACCTATTCTACCGGCAGTAGTTCTGGTCCGTTTTCTGTAGCAGCTGCTGATCTTGATGGGAGTGGCAAACTCGATATTATTGTCGCCAATCACAATGCAAACAACGTCGGCGTCTTCTTAAATGATTGTAACTGATACATAAATTGAACTCTCTTAATGCATTGTCAGTGTTTTTTACATGCGAGCCACCATTTTGTTTTGAATAACGGTTGAGCATTGATATCTACTGAGCTCAGATTTTTGTTATTTGATAGAGCAACTTATGGGTCATCTGTTTGTAAGAGAACCATTCGAGTAAGAAAAATGTTCTATGTACCTTTCCAAATGAATATCTTTTTTGATGCGTCGTCTCCATAATTTCCATTACGATACAGGCTTGAATTACACCAGAATATAGCCCAACAGTCGTTCTATCTACCAGAAAATGTTTATATCTATTGACCTATATCTTGAAACATGACAACTTTTACATTATTATGAAGAGCATATGGTGTAATGTGCGGAATGAACGCATATTACACATGAAAATACAAATTTTTGACTGCACTGAACTTGCTAGCAAAATTATTTCTCAGAATCAAAGCTTTCAATGTATATCAGCCTAGGTTCTAGCTATTCTTCTTGTAATTATGAATAGTGAAATAAGCAGTCGATCATGTTTCTTTTCGCTGAACTGGGTGTGAATGTAGGTATTCAACTTCTCTTCCCTTAGACCCATACCCACTCAGAGTGGATTTCGATCAGACTTCATAAATGAACAATGTTGGCTTATTTAGACTTTTGTAACAGTGAAAACTGTTCCTATGGGACGATTCTAATAGCTGAGATGAAATATGTTTTGGTAGTTAGTCTTGTCTTTGGTTGCATTCTGAAGATATTAACGTGTCCTTCAAAAATGTATTTTTACATTTAACGTTAACAAATTTCTTCTTCAATTTCGATACTCTTCAATGTTTAATGAATAGCACAGCGCGCAAGGGGAAAAAAGCTGATTCCGTGATTTCATTGATTCCACTGATTCTATGTGATTCTATTGATTCTATGTGATTCTATTGATTCCAGAATCTGTATGAATATCATAACCTCTGTCCACTATTATGTCGTCTCATTGGATTTTTCTCATCGCGGTTTCGGCCAATCAGATTTTTTCATGCCGCGGCTTTGGCCAATCAGATTTTTTCATGTCACGGCTTTGGCCAATCAGATTTTTTCATGCCGCCGTTTTGGGCAATCAGATATTTTCTCGCGGCGACTTCCGCTAATCAGATTTTTTTATACCACGGCTTCGGCCAATCAGGTTCTTTCTCACGGCGGTCTCGGCCAATCAGGTTTTTTTCATACCACCCTTTCAGCCAATCAGATTTCTTCTGACGACAGCTTCGGCTAATCAGATTTTTTTATGCCACAATTTCTGCCAATCAGGTTTTTTCATGCAGCGATTTCAGCTAATCAGATGTTTTCACAGCGCGATTTCGGCTAATCAGGTTTTTTCACACTGTGATTTCGGCCAATCGGATATTTTCACATCGCAGCCTTGGTTAATCAGGTTTTTTCTCACGGCGGTTTCAGCCAATCAGATTTTTTTATGTTGCTGTTTCGGCCAATCAGGTTGATTCACAGCGTGATTTCGGTCAATCAGATTTTTTCATGCCGCAGCTTCGGCCAATCAGATGTTTTCTCACGATGGTTTCAGTCAATCAGGTGTTTGCACAGGAAACACCTGGTTGGCCGGAATTGCGACATGTAAAAACCTGATTGACCAAATCTCCAGCATGAAAAAAATCTAATTGGCCGAAACCGCGGCATGAAAAAATCTGATTGGTCGAAATCGCAGCATAAAAAAATCTGATTGGCCGAAACCGAGACATGAATAAATCTCATTGGCCAAAGCTGCCGTGAGATAAAACCTAATTAACCGAAACCGCGGCGTGAAAGTATTCCATTGGCTGAAACCAGGGTATGTAAAAACTTGATTGGCCGAAACCGCGCTGTGAAAACATCTGATTGGCCGAAGCTGTCGTGAGAAGAAACCTGATTGGCCGAAACCGCGGTTTGAAAAAACCTGACTGACCGAGACCGCCATGAGAAACAACCTGATTGGCCGAAGTCGCAGTATGAAAAAAACCTGATTGGCCAAAGTCGCAGCGAGAAAAAATCTGATTGACGAAAGCCGCGCCATGAAAAGATGTGATTGGCCGAGACCGCGGCATAAAAAAACCTGATTGGCGAGTAGAAGCAGGCATTTTTTTACGTTTGATTCCATAAGATTCTATGTGATTCCGTAAGATTCTATGTGATTCTGATTGATTCCGAGTGATTCCATTGATTCCGAGTGATTCCATTGATTCCGACTGATTCTATTGATTTCAACTGATTCCGACCTCCAGAATCAGCTTTTCCCCCCTTGGTGTTTTCACACTTTTTCACGTGGTGTTTGTTCTCACGATTCGCATGCGTGTCTGTGCTGTTCGTCTACTTGGTTGTGCTGGATACAAAATCAAATGCTGAACCCAATGGTACCATCGCATTCAGCAAAAAATTCTGCATTCAGTACAACCAACTAGCACTATAGCACAGATACATAGAAGAATCGGAACAAGAGGTACTGCCGAAAAAATGGGGCCCAGTATCGATTTTTTTCTTAGAAGGTCACATTGTTTGCCAGATGATTCCTATTGAAAATGGTACCATTGGATTCAACATGAAATTCTGCATTCAGCACAATCAATCAGAACAATAGCACAGAGAAGGAAAGGAATCAGAACAAGAGACAGTTTTCTCGATGAGCATCCGCTTTTTGTCCCATGATCTGGTCTTAAAATGGAACCATTCGATTTAGCATCGAATTCTGCATCTACTACAGTCTAGTAAAACAGTATTACAGATAAGAAAACGAATCCGGACGATAAATATCGGACCAAAAGGTCAAAAAAAACGGTTTTTGCCAGTAAACTCCGATTTTTTTGGGCGATGATGCTCATCTGAAAATAGCACCATTCGATTCAGAATGAAATTCTACATCCAGCACAACCAACTGAGACAATAGCACAGATGCGGAGGCGAATCCGGACAAGAAATATCGAATCTGGTGATAACTTTACCGACGTAATGATTATGTACAATTTTGATCCAATAGTTGATCTTAAAAATCATTCTCATTATTACCATATAATTGCAAATACTACTAAGGTATCAAATTATCCCTTTAAATACAATGGCTCTGTCTGCGAGAGAAACTTCTATAAGTTGTCATATTTAAGACACTCATAGTGCAGTATTAATGTTTTCGTCAAAATTTTAAGAAAATCCTTAAAGCTATTTTCTGTCCATGCCTGTACTCCGCACTGGCATGGAGAAGAAGTATTTTGGTCATCCTCGTGGAAAAGTACCGGTGTGAGTCAAAATTCCGGTACAACTACAGATTAGTCACATCGTGGCACCCATATTCTTGTATATACCATGTTGTTTACACCAATTAGTGTAGAGAGTGTGACTAATCTGCAGTAGAACATGTATATGGAAAGAGAAAAAAAGAAATAATGTCATTCATTCATTCAATCATTCATTATCTGTTTATGCAATTAGACCATAGAAAAAAAAGCACATCATTGTTTTCATTGACGATATCGGTCAAATAGATTGAGCCTATATAAATATACAATTATTGACATTTATAAGCTAAGAAAAAAAGATATATTTATAAATAAATATGGAATATTCATGTGTTCAATTAAATGATTTACCTGATGAAATTCTTATTTATATTTTCAAAAAATTAAATAATGTGACAATACTTTATTCTTTAGTGGGTATCAATAAACGATTAGATAGAATTTTACATGATTCTATTTTTACTAGTAATTTAACGTTATTAAATTATTTATCATATAATTCTATTTCTTCATTATCTAAACCAATACTTGATCGATATTGTTTTGAAATCTTACCTAAAATTAATAATAAAATCAACTGGCTTAATCTTGAATTATCATCTATGAAACGTATCCTTTCTGTAAACTATCCTAATTTATTTGGACTTGGTATATATAATATTGAAAAGGAGACTGCTTTACGTCTTTTTACAGGTAAGATATTTTTACTTGAAATTCTTTCAATAATTAATATATTAAGATAAATAAAAATTGAGATGATTTATTTCAATAAATTTTGTTATACTAAAATGGATATTAAAGTAATTAACATAGAGAAATGAAGAGTGAGAATTTTCGTTTGTATACGAAATAAGATTTTGAAAAAAAATTTTTAATTCTTAATAAAAGAAATGATCAAAATAATTGATACTACTATTTGATCAATATTTAAAAAATACTTTGTTATTTTTACAAAAATTTTTTTATTTTTATTTAGATCAAACTTGTTTAATTGAAATATTTAAAAATCAGATTTCATCACTTGTGATTGGAACTAAAAATAAATGTGGTTTGACCGAGAATGTGAATACACTTATATTTACAAATATATTAACTATACTCAACAATTTAAAATATTTACATTTTGATCCATCTTTGGATACTTATCAACAAATATCATTCAACAGATCATCTCCAACTATTTTCTCTTCAACTTTGCTAGAATTACATGTCAAAGTAATGACTATTGACGATTCACTTTATTTACTTGATGGTCGTTTCAGTCAACTTCATTCTTTCTATGTTCATATATTATCATCTCTACATTTCAAGTTGAAATTAAATAAAGTATAGTTTTATAAATTACCGATTCTATTGAAATCAATTATAAAATCTTGTTTTTTTTTAGGGAAAATTATCAAATTTAAAAACTTTTTCATTGTCCTGTGATTCGAAAATCTTTTACTATGATGATGTAATTATACCACTTTTACATCGAATGTCGAATTTAGAACAACTTAATTTATATTTGGATTGTTCTTGCGAGAAAACATTTATTGATGGAAATGATTTAAAAACGAATATTTTAAATCATATATTACAATTAAAATCATTTGCATTTAATATTCGTTCATCAGTCCACTATATTAATCAAATTGATTTACCATCAAATCAATATATTCAACATACATTCAAAGAATTTAAATATAAGAAAATCATTTCTTCTGTTGATTATTTTCCAGATTCCAAGATAGGTGAATGTTATATTTGTTCATATCCATTTACCATGACACGTTATGAACGTATTACAAATAATTTTTCAGGTGAATTATTTAAATCTGTTTGTGAAGTTGAATTATTTGATGAACGTTCTTTTGAACATGAATTTTTTCTTCGAATTCAGAAATCATTTCCATTTATGAAAAAACTAACTTTAATTAATAATAAACCACAAAATGATAAACAATGTAGAGAATTAAAAAATAACAATAATAATTTATTAATTATTCAATATCCTCATCTTACTTATCTTAATCTTGATCAAGCTCATGATGATTATCTCGAACAATTTCTACTTGACACCAAAATGTGTTTACCAATTAATGTTGAACTTCGTGCCATGTATAAATCTTTAAAAAAAGTAACACACAATTTTAAAAGAAATGCAACACGAATTAATTGTTTAAAAATGAATTATAAATGTACAGATGATATTTCTCGATTTCCAAAACATTTGAAAAACTATTTTCGTAATGTATATTAAATTTTGATTATTCTGAATTATGAGAAGAAAATTATTTGAAATTTTATTGAAAAGAATGAAAATCTATGTATTCATATAAAAAACATCAGACATAATAATATAGATTTATGAAAAAATTTGAAAAATATTTTTTAGTTTAGAACTGAAAAACGAATAATAATAAAAAATTGAGAAGTTGAAAGAAAAAAAAACACGCTAGGTTGAATTCCTGCTGGCATTAAGTGTGACAAACACAAAATAACTGCTTTATTAATAGAGGGATGTGTTTAACAAAACAACTTTCTGATTTGCTTCTATAAATGGATAGTGTTTCTATTCAATACTTCAAAAAAATATACAGCAGATTGAACTTGAGACAATTTATATGTCATAGTTTATAAGAGAATAAGAGGAAATCATTTTTATTAAAGACATTATTTTTATAATAAGATAATTATTATAAACCTAAGTTTTATATAAGAATCTCTGTAACTTCTATTATCGTATATTTTACTATCGAAGAACGTAACTTTAAAAAATGTTTGATAAATATTTAGTTTTAGTTGAAAATGGTAATTTAAAGAGTCCCAACCTCAAAAATCTGACTTCGACAGAGTACACGAGATATTGATGAAACTTTGCATAGGTGTTGGGCTCATGGAAGTACATTAGCAAAAAAAATTCACGTCTCTATACCTTACCATTCAGGAAATATCCAGGGACCGAGCCGTAAAACAAGGCTTTTACGCGTACAAAGTTTTTTTAATATACTGCAAACTGCAGAGTTCGGGTTGCTTTTATTTGAAAGAGGACTCCCTACTGCTTTGAATGAGGGAAAGAGTTTTTTTAATTTTCACTTTGTTGTATTTTTTTAGGCCATCGAAATCTAAAAAAAAATTGGAAATTTTAAGTATGCTGTCCTGGAAAACTCGCGGTTCCTCTAGCATTGACGACTAATTAGAAAATTCCTTTCCATTATCTGAAGGACTGTCCATCTATCTATCGTGAAAAAAGTGCAGCTCTCTAAATTGAAGTATATTGAAAAAAAAAATTTGTTCGCAGTTTGACCATTACCAAAAAAATTAATTTTGAGAAAAACTCAAAACAATTTGTTTAAATTTAGTCTTCCTATTATTAATTAAAAGCGAGGTAAAGCCTGAGTATGTTAGATATCAATCGAAGCTCTTCTCGATATACATTAAGTTATCCTCATACGAGACATATTGCGATAGATGACGCTAACTATTATTGTCTCTATATTCGTTAAATCATCGAAGAAAATGATAAAGACAGAATATGGGTCAAACTTAGGTTTCCGTGCATCACAGATTTCTTCGTCACTTTAAACGCTAGAAAGCTCGACTTGGTGTCAAAATGAAGATAAAAATTAGCTCTACAACTTAACAGGATCCAATCTTTTAATTTCCTCCTACCTTGTGTTTCTATAAAACTTTCCAGGTGAAATACGGAAAACTTGGGGAAGGGATACGTTCAAAATAGTAAGTTTTTTATAAATATGAATGGGGAAATCGAAAGATTCCACCTCTGGTAAGTTGTAGAGCTAGTTTTTACCTTCATTGTGACACCAAGCCGAGCTTTCTAGCGTTTAAAACAACGGAGAAATTGGAGATGCATGGAACGTAAAAATCAAGTTTTTTCAGAAAAAAACGTTATTTTTCTCTGTAGGTGCGTTCAGAAAAACCTTTGTAATATCTTTAAATCTCATGATAAAATCAACAAACTATCGTGCATTCGAAAGTAGATGGGTTATTATACGTCAACTTTATTTCATTTATGTTCGAAAATAAGAAGAAACTCTCTCACAATCACATTGACAAGATGTTTACATCCGTTAAAATATCATTATTTCACTTTAAGTTCTAAGAATGAGAGTAAGTCAAGTGATAGCATACGGATACAGTATAAATTTTTCAAAAAATGATTCATTTGGTTTACTACGATGAAATCTCATTAATAGCTGCTTTGTACCAATATATTTCACGATATTATTAACCACAATATGAAGATTGATACATGATGATTGTTGCTCTCATTCTTATTATACATCGTCATAGTGAGATATTTGCGTCATTCAAATCACATACACAACGATGTCGCCTTCGTGTATACGTAATAATCTAACTTTAGTTATAATGCATGACAAATATCGACTATTCTGTCATTATCGTGTTTCCTCGTTTTTTCTTACGTCACACGGCCACGTCAACACGAGCGCAATTATATACGTTCTTCTATCATTATATTAACAAGGAGCGCGTATGAAAAAACAAACATATTTTCTCTTAGTTTGACATGATGTAGAAACGCTTGAGCAAAAAATGACAATTAAATTCGTTATTATCAGTGATAACTTTTCTCACTAAATATACAGATCTGTTTCTATTGTTATGTTTCTAGGATTAGATTATGATGTTGTTCAACTGGTCTACTTCATTTTTTATTTCTTTTTGCGCCTATTCTTTTAATAATATTAATGTCTTTGTCGAATTATGATGTTTCTTACAATTTAGTGGTTCAGTGTAAATTTGCTGACCTGAAAACATTGTTTTGAATGATCATTTTGCCGATGTTTTTTTTGTTGTATGTTATGGATGAGGCAATAAACGCTACGATTGTCGATGTCATGAGCGCCTTCGATTTACATCACTAGCCGAGAGAAAAATTCATGTGATAAGATTCTACATACGTTATAACAGATTTCGTTTCAAATTATATCTGAACGTCTTTATAGTATCTCGTGTGAATAAAATACTGTATCAAATCGAAGTTTGGTTAAAAGAAAATCTATACTTATGAAATTTTACTTCTAATATTTGATCTAATTTTTCTCTTGAAGGTTCAGTAACACTAACGACATTCTTATTGATGTGTACAATGGAATTGCTATGTTTCACATGCTCAATATTCTGTTTGTCAACAAAGGTATTAGTACAAGTGCATTATATTGTTGCTCAACAATCAAAGAACGGCCTAAGTCACAGAGAGATTATTCGAATTAGTTATTTAATAATTTCTTCTAGTCGAACAATGGACAAGAAAAAAAAAGCTTTTGATTGGAAAGTTAATTGATAATAACCAAGATATTCAAGAAACGAAAACAACATCTGCATCTACGATAAGTTCAAAAGGTAAAAAGAATAGTAAATTTGATGATATTATTAAATTTCTGAAGTTGGTTAGGAAAGTATTTATTGGAGATAACTGTAAAGTTACATTTAAGATTGTCAGAATTCTGTTTCAATCAGCAGAACAGTTCGAGAGTTATATGTTTATAAGTACATTTTATATTGAGTTCTTCCAGAAAACATAAATCTTTCTTCTAGTAGAGTTGCATTTATCTCAGTTATTTTATGTAATACCAGAATTAACCTCTGAATAGCATATGACTACAAAATGTCTTCATGCTTCGAAAAGTAAGTTAAATATAATTTCAAAGAACAATGTTCTTTTTCTTAAGGATTTTGTATTAAAAATCAAATGAACTTCAATCGATCACAAACTTCTCTAGTAGAGAAACAGAGTTAAAATTATCCAAGTCGAATCAACAATTCTATGATAGTGATATGAATCGTTTCCAATCAGTAATCAAACTAAAAGCACATTCGAATAACAATATCTCTATGATGGAGTCCAATGCTCTAGTACAAAGCATATATTCCATTCGACGTCGATTCATAGCTATAGAAAATACTGATTTCATAAATAAGGTACTCAAGTTTCAAGAATTCTTTCACAAAGAAACTCTAATTTTTTTTTCTAATCGTTATTTACTGCTATTTATTGGGATGATAATTGTCTCCCGCCCAATAGAATGAAAAAAAATCTATTGAATATTTCATTCTGTTTATGAAAAGCTTACTCTACACATATCTACTTCATAAGGTAAGTATCTTTTTTTTTTGATTCTTGTACATTTGAATCTGAACAACTAGTCTCATCACAAACTTTTTTCGCTGGTGAGTGAACATTGCAGCAAGAGACAGGTTTTATCATCGGACGCTTTTATTATTGTATATGAACCATTTTCTTTTATGCCATTTTGTGGAGCTTGTATGTTTTTTTTTAAAATGAAGCAGATATTTTGTCATCTGTTTTCTTTTTGTAATTCAGTTTTTGAACAAATAGTGTAAGTATTTTTTCGTTAAACTTAGAGCATTAATGACTGATATGTTTTGCGTACCTTTTTTCAATTTCACTAATATTTTTTCTAGATGAAATCTATGCGACTCTTGACTTCTGCAGCAGGAAAATTTTATTATGGAACTTCACTTCTCATATAGAAACAAAATTATTTTGAATGTTCATACATGTACATTTTAGATTCATGATCTACTTTTCACATGAATTGTCTCATTAAACAGAATCGTTGTAAGTAGAATAGCATTGTTGAAAAATCGACCATAACTCGACCGTCTACATTTAGTCAGTGTTTTATCAGATTTTTTTGTTGAGAAGAAGGCAATTATGTAACCATCATGAATAAATTTCCAGTTGAGTCTCAACACATAAATGAGTTGAATAGTATGATGAACAAAAAATCATTCATATGATTTCTGAGAAAATTTCTTCTCGTTGGTGAACAATCAAGTGTTGAATTGACACATAACGAAATCCTAGATATGTTATTTTTACCTGTTAAAATCCTGTTCGATGAAACAAATGTCACGTGAAAAGCAAATTATCATTTGAAGTATTCATTTGAGCATCGAACAATGTACTGAAAGTGTCTAGAAAAGACGGATATTTAAAATACCATTGAGTGACTCGAAATTAGTTAACCAAGAAAAATTAGACACGTCAGTGTCTAAAATTGATCATTCGTAAACACATCAACATCTAACTTGAATACGTATTTATCAATGATGGAATGATCTAATGTGTCTTTTTAGATACGTAAATCGTTCTATACTTTTACAGTGTGATATTGGCAAATACTTCATTCTCACTCCTACAAAATGGGTAATCAACACAATATTTGTATCAAATACAATAAAAAAATTCTTTGTCACTCACAGAAACATGAAGTAAGTCAGTTTTATATTGCATGTAGAAATGGTGATATTGAAACTGTCAAACAAATTTTATCAATTACACCATACGAACAAATAAATCAACTAGAACCTAATGGAAGTACAGGACTGCATGCAGCTGTATTCTATGGACATGCAGATATCGTTCGTCTTCTTTTACAGGAGTATGGTTGTGAACGTCATCGTCTAAATTCATATGGTTTAACTGCTTATCAGGAAGCAAAAACACAAGAAATTCGACGGTTATTTTATCGTCCATCGCATATTAATCGGTTTTATGATGAAAACAATACTTTCATAAATGCATTTGAGATTGTTTCTTCATCGACAGAGATCGTTGCCGATAACTATGAAAATAATGAAAAAATCAATAAATATATTCAACGTTTTGTAACACAAGAGGAAGTTGATAAAGAAATGATTTCTCTTAGTCAAAGTAAAAAGCTTCTTCAAACGGCATTGGGACGCTATATAATTCGAAAAGTACTAAAACATCAAGATTTAAATGATGATACACTTAATAAATATATAACAGATAAAGCATTTAGAATACAAACAATACGAAAAATAATCGATGAACAAGTGACGCCAACACATTTGGAGTATAAAAAATGTTCTCAACTTCTATCAAACTATGCTCAACATGAAAATATAGATAATTTATTAAAACTTTATACATTAGAAACACCATTTTACTATCAATTACGAGATAATATTTTACCATTTTTTTGGCCTTTAGTATTAAAAAAGGATTTGAAATATCGACGTTTTCAAGGTGTGTCATATCGTGGCATAACTATGTCTAACGACGATTTAGAATGTTATCGATTAGCTTGGAATAATCCCGGAAGTATTATTGAAACACTAACATTTTCATCAACATCATTAGATCGATCTGTTGCTGAAAATTTTGCTGTATCACGGTCAATAACATCACCTACTACAATACGTGTATTAATGATATTTAACTTTCCCGATGCATGCGAGCAAGCACTATATTTAGGTAAAATACCTGAGTATAATCTTCCATGTGCATCCGAATATGAAGATGAACAAGAAATATTAATTGTACCGTTTACAGCATTTCATGTAGAAAATATTCAAACTAATTCTGATGAACATCGTACAACAGTAATTACATTAAAAAATATACCTCTTGCAAAAATATCCTTCTCTGTTGCATCAAAAATATTTCTTCAAGCAAAACCACAAGACCACAGTTATTTATTAAATAAAGTTGGATTTTGATCGACACAATATCAACACTATTGTTCAACATGAAATAATCGATACAATGCAAAAAACTTTTTTGAACAATTTTATATATAGATATGTATAAAAGAATACATAGTTTTCATCGGGATTGACGTTGACAGATAGTTCGATACGGCGAAAGGTGTGGAATGTGACTATATGGCTCTTCTCTTCACTCACAGCCAACCCACTCAAACTACACACTTACACACTCTGAAAAATATGTTTTTTTTAAACTAATTGAATTGTGTACGTTTGTGACAAATAATTATGAGAATGCTTGAAATCATGAAATAGCATAGTTCCTTCAACTGCAGATAATCGATTAAGTTCAGTTGTGTTAAGATCAAATAACTTGTTTAGCGGTTTTGCTTCTAAGAGAAATACTCTCGATGAGAAGACTTATCAGTCTAATTTGATAGTAAACAAACTTATATCTATTTACTTGGGCTAATATTAACGAGTTGTGTGTGGGTGTGTGTATATGCAAAAAAAAACTCATTGATATCAGAAGTGAATATTTGTAGATGTTCCCTCGTTAGATATCTGCCACATCTGTGGAGGAAGGTCAAAATTTCTACCTTTCTACTTCAACACTTCTTTTATGTCATGTTTCACAAAAACGAACAGTAAAGTATCGGTTTTTTTTACCATAAATTTGATCTTGTAATCCATTTTGTTCAACGTTTTCCATGGCCATGCAAGAATTAAATAGATCGATTTCAGAAACCAACATTTTCCATTGAGGATTAAGATGAGTTACTTAAACAGTATGAATACATGAACAACCACAGCCTTGAATCTAAATTAATAAAATAATTTTTATATTTTCATTGAAAAAAATTTCTTTTTAATACCAATATCAATTCCGATTGCATCAATTTTATGTTCTATTAAATCTTCTATCCAATGAAGATAATTTAATTTTTGTGGAACTTTCGGTATAAGACGATCTATAATTTTGATAACAGAAAAAGCAAAAAGAGAACAATATTGAATAACAATCAAAGAAAATTCGTCTACCTAAACTAAGTTCTAAATTTAAATTAAAATCTTCTTTAGCTGTTACTATTGTTAATGCTCGAACAGCATTGAGAGATTACGAAAATCAAGTGTAACATCGCCATTAGATTTTTTGAATTAGAAAAGATTTTAATGCTGGATGTTTTTCAGCAAGTTGTTTATAATCAGGTGGATTTGTTCGATAACGATTTCGTTTATGCATATATTCGTTGAACAACATGTAAAAGATATGACTAATCGAAATTGTTTCTATATCATTTATTATATTGTAGATAAATCTTTCCTTATAGCTATCAAATATTTTATTTAAGATAAAAAATAAATAACCTACAGATGTTTATACACGTTCAATTAATAATGAAATACCTTGACCACCACCAATACAAGCAGCACCAACAGCATATTTCCCTTGACGTCGTTTTAATTCATATACAAGATTGGTTGTTATTCGTGTACCTGATGCACCTAATGGGTGACCAAGTGCAATCGCACCACCATTAACATTAGTCTTTTCATTTGGCAATTTCAAAGTTTTTTGACAAGCAATAAATTGTGCTGCAAACGCTTCATTTATATCATATAAATCAATGTCAGATATTTGTTTTTGTGATTTTTTTAATAAATTTTCAATAGCTGGTACCGGACCAATACCCATTATTAATGGATCAACTCCACTAATATGATAAGCTACTAATCGAGCTAATGGTTTAAGATTATGTTTTTTCAATGCTTCTTCATTACAAATAATAACAGCAGCAGCACCATCACATATACCACTAGCATTACCAGCTGTAACTGTTCCTTTGTCTTTTATAAATACAGTTGGTAATTTCGAAAGTTGTTCCATATTTGATTGTGGACGTGGATGTTCATCTGTATCAAAGAGTTCATCAGCTCCTTTTTTCCCTTTTGTCTTTATTGATTCAATTTCATCCTTAAAAGCACCTTGATCATTTGCTTTTTTCCAACGTTGCTGAGATTGTAATGCATATTGATCAGCATCTTGACGTGTGATATTATATTTTTTTGCTAAATTTTCCGCTAAATTCAAGTCAGAAAAATTAATACAATTTTTTTTCTGGTTTTTTTTGGAAAGTACCTGTCACACCCATCGGTATGTTAATATATTCATCAGTTAAACCGTGCCAAAGAGTGTCTTCAAGTTTTAAGTCTTGTCCTAACTTTGTTCCAAATCGAACATTTCGTACTGAATATGGAACTTGTGACATATTTTCTGTACCACCACATAGTACAATATTTGAATCACCTAATTCAATTTCTTGTCCGCCAGATATAATCGATTGAAAACCCGATCCACAAAGACGATTAACTGTTAATGCAGGAACATGATTTGGTACACCAGAACGTAAGGCAGCATGACGGGCAACATAAGCAGCACCTGATGATGACTGCCTTACATTTCCAACAATAGTACTATCAATAAGTTCAGGTGATAAATTTGCTTGTTTAAAAACAGCACGATTAGCAAGTTCTTGTAAATGTGTAGCTGTAAAATCTTTTAATTTACCACCATATGTACCAAATGGAGTACGACGTGCTGCAACAATGTATATAGCTCGTTTGAAGACCATGATGTTTTATTTTTATTTTTTTTTTGTTATACTGTCCTATGGGTATACCAAGATTTACTTTAAAGAGAATCTAGGGAGTAAAATGATGACCTTTGCGCTTACATCATATCACCATCGTCATTATATAGCATCCAATCCATTAACTACCGTACCCTGTTGTAATTTGTGCATTTTATCTATCGAACAGAAAGAAAAAAAAAATAGAATTTATGACAGCGACTAGCGACCTCAATCTTAAGATTGCTGACAGAAGAAGTTAGATTTGCTAAAAACCTAAGGTCATAAATTACAATAGCCGACAATATAATATGAATATAAAATAAAGGAGAATATCAAGTGAGAAAAAAAAACATATCGTCACATTTGTTAAGAAGAAAAATTAGCTATAATACATGTATATTCCACCTCAATCGAGATAGCTTTTTATTTTTAGAAATATTGCATATTTTTCTCATAACGCTTCGTAGAGATATTTAATTTTTATTTGAAAACATTTGACAACAACTGTTAAAATTTTTTATAATTAAAAAAGTTAGCATGTTTCAACTAATTATGTTTTTTCAATATCATTTGTTTCCATCATAGATTCGGTTGTCTCCATTGTTGAATGTTGCATACCACGGTGTGAGTGTGGGATGTGGGTGTAGTATGAATGTTCTCTTTCATAACATCCACACCCCCACACCCTTATTGCTCATTAGTGCATTAAACATAACCATGTGTGTTTTATTCTGTTTCAGGTCACACGTAGAATACTCATTTATTCTTATTTAATAAAGCGACATCTTGCGTATCAGGGTTTGAGACCTTGGTGTAGTGTGGGCTTGGGTGTGAATCATGTTCTCTTCATTCAGAGCATTCTCAGATGCCAATCGCACACCCACACTCTCGTACATGTGTCAAGGAATACTGTTTAATTGATTACAAGTGAAGAACGTTATTAAAGAATCGATTTTTTTCGTAGTCTGAGAACTAATGTAGTACGACTAATGACCAAAGTTTCAGCTTTGCATGATGTACTGATCCGATAATAATTGAAATTATTTCTCAAAAAATGTCCATGCATCACGTTTGGCTAGGCCGATAAAGATTGAATGGTATTGAATAATTTTCTTATGAAACAATCAAACTTCTCTTTATTAAAAAGGAGGATAAGCAATCAAGGAGTTGAAATATTGTAACGAGACAATTATTATCTTAATTTATCAAGGAAAAAGCGACCGATTCATTGTTGTTGTTGTTATTTATTTGATTGCACTGGATCGCTAAGGACCGAGCAGACTAAATGGAAACTTTGTACCCGAGCAACATGGCACAACATGTATAACACCTGGATATTTATGACACGCACAACCACAGATCTTTTTCCTCGTTGAATACTGTTCTTTTTCTGGTTTTTCTGTTTTTTGTGGCTCTTTCTCTCTACTCTAAAATTACAAAACAACTTAATGAAAACAATTCTGCTTGCACCAATAAACGTACTTTTTGCTCTTTCTGTCGTTCTCGTTCCCGTTCTTCCGCTTCTTGTCGTCCTATTTCTCGACCCTAAAATCAAACAATCACTTAACGAAACAATTTTGCTTGTAACAATATAGAAGTAACCCTTTATCTTTACTTCCAATTATAATAAAGGATAACGATGAATGATTCATTTAAATTTATTTATAAAGCAGAAATAAATCCTTTATTTTCAAAAGATAAAGATAAATTAAAGAAATAAAGATTCTTTTCCTAGTAATAATGCAGCCAGAAGTGACCTAGAACTGCATAGCATATATTCAAAAATATTTTTATCATTAAAAAATGTATTTTGATTGAAAATAAGTTGCTTAAGAAATGGCATGAATTTGTGCCTTTACTTTGATATTTGGCAGATTTCAATTACAAAAATGATAACTGGATCAAAACGAAGATCATATCGCGAACTAGCATACAAATAGAAGTCGATTTCTGTGTGTTTCAAAAGTTTTTGAGACATTTTCTTCTGATCGAAAAATTCGTTTCCTAATTTCTCTCCCAGGATTTTTGGACCAAAAATTGAACTTTATCAGAGAGTAAATCGGCGTTTTTCATGAAACATATTTTTCAGTCTAAAAAGCTTGAGGGGAAGTATGGAAAAATGTTTTCGATCAAAATGAATTGCTTCAAAAATATTTGAAACATTCATCATTCAGCTCCTTTTTTCATGCTAATTCAGAATATGATATTAGTTTTGACAGAAGCATCGTTTTTCTAACCCCCAATCGGCTAAATATTAAGGAAAAGCACAAAATTCATTTTGTTTCTTAATTAACTTGTTTCCGGATCAAAATACACTATTTGACTAGTAAAATATTTCCGAAGATATGGTCTGTGTATATATTGCAACGTTATCAGTCACATTAGCTCTTAGAAAAAGAACCCTTTATTTTTTTACTGTATCTTTATTTTCTAAAGATAAACGATTCATTTATCTTTATTTAATAAAGTAAGACTAAATGATCATCCCTACAGCAATAAACTTACTGTTGAAATTAGTGACTCTTCGTATGCTTTTTTTTTCTTACAATCTTCTTCTTCTTGTCTTGCTTGTTCTCTTTTACGTTGCCGCTCAATCTTCTGGTACATGTCATTCGTATAGTATTTACCACGATTGCTTTGCACCATTTGATCAATCATTCGAAGCAACTGGTCGATTTTTATTTTTAACGGTTGACCATTTAACTTATTGTTGATGGCAAATTTATGATTTCCACAACACTGGACTAACTCTTTCAACTGGTCTGATGAATTTATGAAATCATCAATAGTTTGACCCTCTTCCAATTGATCTTCGCAAGTAAAGACGACAATACAATATTTGGCAGCACCATCACCGAAAATTTTTTTAATAAAATCAACAGTATTTTTTTCTTCTGGTGTAAAACGATCGACGCGAACGATGATTAAAAAGGCATGTACACCTGGTGATGTCATATCGAAGATTTGTGAAGCGATTTTATTCTGTACCATTTCGTTTGTTACTGTCGCGTCTGTATCAAAAAAGCCTGGTGTGTCGACAACAGTCAATATTTTCTGTTGTCCACTGACATCTGTATGATTATACATTTTCGCTTCACATTGCTTTGTTATCGATTCGGCTGATTGTGTAGAGAGAAAAGCGCTTCGAGAATGTAACAATGAGTTGCCAGTTGAACTTTTTCCTTAAATAGAAAGCATGTCTACACACGAAACGAAAAAGGCGTCCGACTAAACATAAAAAAAGATTTTTCTTATTTGTGCGAAGGAAGGTTTCATACTATCTGTACAGAGCTTTTATGGATCCGGTACGAAATCTGAAATGGTTCTTATTGTGAGCACACAAGAAGAAATTTCTTCATAGTGTATATAGTGAAGATAAGTTTGATATATTCGACACTAACCATTTCCTGTCTTTCCCATAAGGACGATGCGGAGTTCGTGTTGTGAAGAGGCCTGAAAAAAATCAAAATCATATTTGTTTTGAAGCGTAAGAAAAGTTTCTGCTCACCATATCTTTTTACGTTTGAAATTTATTTGATATTATTGATAAAATTTACTAAAAAGGAATGCAATATGTTCCTCTTGTGTATATTTATATGGTCTTTAAGATAAGGAAAATTGCTTATTTAGTTTCTCAATCTTGCATAACCTTATAGGAGAAATAAACCTAGCAGAGTGGTATTATTGCATACGTAATTCCTAATCAATAGTACTTAAACAGCTGTGTTTTTATTAATATGTCTGCTCACATATTCTTCAATTCGAAAGAAAACTTTTTATATCTGTCGATAGAAAATATATACAACGCAAAGCAAATTAGTCCCATAAACTGATCCATGTAGTCGATAATAGATAAATAAAGGGAAAACGACCAATTATTGTCAATTATTTTATGAAACTCATCAAATAATTAATATTAAGGGTGTGGGTGTGGGGCGTGTTAGTGTGGAGTGTGGGTGTTGGTGTACAAAAAGAGAAGAACGAAACCCACCCACACCCACACCCACACTCACACCTAAAAGCATCCGAACAATATGGCCCTTAAGGATCTAAGGGTACCCAAGAACATAGCACTTGAGAATCTAAGGGTATCCCACAATGTAGCAATTGAGGACCTAAGAATACCCCACAATGTAGTAATTGAGGACCTAAAGCTACCTCTAAAATATAGACTTTGAGGACCTTAGAGTATCTACAGAATATATCTTGCACTCCCTCGTATGTTAATGAAGTATGGGAGTAGATGAAGTGTTGCTTTTCTTCCTGGCACGCTACCCCATTCTACTCCAGTGATACTCCATCCTACTTCAACGGTATTCCACTCTACTCCATTAGTACTCCACCGTACTCCAAGCGTACTCCACTCTACTCCCGTGATACTCCAATCTACTCCAGCGGTACTCCACTCTACTCCAAGCGTACTCTGCTGTACTCCAAAATTTACTTTGGAGTAGATGGAGTATCGCCTTTTCCCCCTTGATGTAACGCCAAAAAGAATACTCACCTAGTAATCGAGACAGCTGGAAGATACTAATGGTTAACGTGGTCACGTAACTCTTCAGCATGTGATTGAATACTTGATTCCATTTTGCTAATTCTTATGAAATGACAAATGAAACCTTTGCAGTGTACCTTCTGCAGTCATGAATATTTCTTTCATGTATGCCAAATGCTGCTTTTGTATGTTAAATGAAACATGGAAGATTGCACGGATTACATCTTAAAGTGTATCATTTCTTAAATTCAGCTCTAGATATTTATATGGCAAACGAAAGGGCACAAGTCACTATATATTTCTGCATAGTTCGTTTGAAGTTAGACCTAAAGAAAGGATCATTTACCATGTCAGGAAAATTGCCTTAGTTTGAGTAATTTGGGTATGTATGGGTGTGGATGAAAAAAAATTTAAACTCACAACTACATCCACGCCACACACTCACACCCACACCCTTCTTAGGATTCTAGAGATTTCCATGAGATTTTGTCGGATTCTCAAGGATTCGGAATCCTGGGAATTCGCCGATTCCTCCTTGGCTCTCAGTAAGTATGATTTCACCAGGACCGAATATTTCAATCGACGTTTAAGCGATTAGTTTGAAAGAATGTGCTTGACTATTTGTAAAAAGAAACGTTTGATAAGCAAACACTAATAATTCATATAAATTTTTGAGGTTATAAACATTTTTTAAATCAGTTTGAAACTCTGAAAAAATAGAGTCCATGATTGTGAAATGATCAAACTGATTCATTAATGAATCAGTATTCATTTTAATGGCCACTTTACTATTATTTGAAAAAAATGCATTTTAATGGTCGAAATGGTCTAACTACAAATAATAGGGCATTTTAATGACCATTTTTTCATTATTCACTTGACTAGATTGTTTTCTACCCTATCAGTCATCTTGATGGTGATTTCAATCAGAAAAACTGCTTAAA